ACTTTAAAATATTTGTGGTTTCATCAAACACTTTTATGATTAATTTATTTGATTTTCAAATTATTACTACTGATTGTTATGGCATCTTCAACCGGTATGTTAGTGTACACATTTTGTATGTCAAAATTATTTGAGTGTCTCTGATGTTCATGTCCTTGATTTTGTTGATGAAGTCTGTTGTATTCTTCAAACTTCTGTTGTTTTCCAATTTCACTTTCTTCAAATTCTTAGTTTTAAGTTTTATGTTAAAGACCACCATCAACAAAGCTAAAAAAATCGATTAATGTAACATTTAAATTACCAGACTTCTTTCCAGTCAAATATTATATTTGATACATATTGACAAGCTACAAATCAAAGAAGTATAAAATAAGAACAAAACAAACTGAAATACAGGTGGCACTGGAGAGAAGAAGGAAATCATGATTCGGTCAGTTTATTTAGTCAGTGGCAGTGATAAGACAGTGCTGGCCAGCCTGTACAGTTTTAACCAGTTTTGTACATTTGTATTCCATTTGTATTGTTTTATCAACATGACATGTTTTAATTATTGTTATTGCGATAGTCTTTTAAAGAATCTCAATAGATATAGCACATACCACAATGTATTAATACATTGATCATGTGGTTGCATACGAAATGACCTGACGAAGTTCTAAGAAACGAAACTAGTCGTTATACCAACGACTATGGTTGGACAAGGTAATCATGTTTATTTTATAAAAAAATACAAATAACCATTTACCATCTTTATAGGCTACGTATTCACAGTCTTTTAGCTGTAATTTTACGGAAATAAAATTAAAATGCATCTAATAACATTTGAATCAAATACAAAACAAAGATTGAAAACGTGGGACAAAAAAGCAAATGTTAAGAAATTCACGTATTATTTATTTTTAAAATATTCATTTTACATTATTTGGAAACGAAAACTGACATTTCAAGGATACTTTTAAAATATGGAAAGATATGTCACGCAACATTGGTTTCTTCTGAATTGTTTGCTTCTGCTTAGGTGTCCTATGTGCGTAGCTTCGAAACTGTTGCGCCTAATGAAGGAGGAAATGTGAAATTGTGACAATATGGTTAACCGATTTTGAGATGTACAGCAAACATTAATATTTTGAGTACCAAAAAATTTTTACGGAAACAAAATTAGAAAACTTACGTCTCTTACATATACTGAATTAAAACTACTTTCATTCACGTTTCCTAAATGCTTATTTACTTCTAAACCACTCCAGGCATGTTTCAATCAGGCAAGTTCGTGAAACCAGTAAGAAGCTACAAAAAGTTTCTCCTAAATTACTAATTCTCCATAGTAGGATTTCGACTTATTCAGTGTAACGCCCTAAAGGGAATTTCATTTGACTAACTACAGTTAGAATAATTTTTTTTAAATAAGAAATAAATACAGAAATCATATTTAACGTGAATATGTTTTAGGAGTCGTTATTAAAGTGGTAGATTCATTTGTTCTATCTATATATTCTGCACAGAGTCTATACTATCTAAGATAGACAGTTACGGCCCCCTTAAATGTAAAACATTCGCATTTTACAAAATATGCATATACTTGCCTAGACAATTAATCGAAATCTTAAAACCACACGTTCGCTGTTCCGACTACATGCAACTTGTATTTTGACTTAGAAATATGCCAATGAAAAGAGCAAACTATATTATATTGCTATACTATTGCCCAGTATTGTTTCATAATATGTGAAAATGGCCATTATTGTCTTACAAGGGTTAAACTGTAAAAAACTTAATTTGGCACCATTTTGTACCAACTTTTTTAACTTTTTTTTTACATACGGCAAGTATTTAAAAAAAGTTGCCAAATTACAATACGAATTTTTATATTTTGATTATACCTCTTCAATTCACAAAAAGGTAAATTATGTACCTTTTAAGAACGATCCACTTGGATAATACAAATCCAAACAATGGGGAAATTTTTATTTTTATTTGTCTGAATTGTATCTTTCATTTAACATTAGTGATATTAATAGACAATCATGTTTCTTTGAAACCTTTTTTCTCAGCTCGTGTGAATCGCAGTGAAAATCTACGCATACTGTTGGAAAGAGATTTTTCTGTAGATGTGCAGAATCCCTTCATAAACTAAAATATGCATAAAATAAGCGCAAAAAAATGAATTTAAAATTTGGAAAAATAAAATGGATCTTACGGGTTTCCATGCTGGTGACGAAATAACAACGCAATATAAATGAAAAATATAAACAAATGGGAGAAATTCCAATCACATGTTTTATTTACAGCGTAGGGTGAAAATGGAGAAGTCTGTAGCCTACATTAAATACTTTTGGTCGAGTTTTCGACCACTGGACGACCTCTGGTTAGTGAGTGTTTTGCTACAGAGGGTGTCCATAATATTACCATTAGTTATGGCCAGGTACAAAGAGGATTCGTAAATAAAATTTAGTTCATAACTAATGATTATAATGAACTATTATTCACATTTTAACACAAAATAAGTTAGTTAAAAAAAGTTTAGTACAGCAACAAACCCCTAACGTATGTGCGTTAATAAAACGTCTTTAGTAATTATTGGGGAATTGATATTATTTATTATAGTTGTATTTGGTATTATTTTGGTTTATCAGTGGCACAATTTTATAAGAAATCGCAATTTGTATCCAATATTTTCTAAATTTTAGTTTTAAATGTTATGAGAGTTACAAAAACTTACAAAAACATTTACAATAAAATGACGAAACTAAAGATGTATGTTACAATCTGATATATTTTTGAAAAAATTCTACAGAGTTAAATTTTTATTTGTTTAAAAACTTATACGTCTGTTTATATTTTATACTAATACTAAATTTTCCAATGGGTTACACTATGTTTAAACCCTAAGTCTTGTCGTATACTATGTCAAAACAATAGAATTGAAATCCTCAATGAATTCAAAATCTGGCAGATTTAGGGATAATATGATACATTAACTCAGGTTTCTTATGAACTTTACTTACTAAGGTTCATAAGAACTGGTTTGTAATTGTTCTCTCAACTATAATAAAAATTGCAAAGGTATGAAAACAGTTGGTGGTCGGAGCTATGCACGTTTTGTTTTTGTGTAATGTACGAGAAACACGGTATAGGCCCTTGGGACCCGAGCTAGCGTCTTTGTGCTCAGGCTAATATACTTCTTAGTTTACGTCTTGACCTTTGTAGAAAACAAAACAAAAAGCATAACATGAGTAGGTATTTATCATATTAGTATTGTTTATGATCTTATCGTATATAACGTTTTAAAGTTTTTTTAGTCCTAACTCCACATTCAAGGACGCTAGACTGTAGAACCATATTGCATTACCGTAGAATAGGCGTAGAGGGTAATTATCATATAAAGCCATTGTTATTTGAAAGGGTTTGAACCCGGGAATCTTATGAACTGAACCATAATGATGGTGGTTAAAAGTTGTAGAAAGAACTACTGTATGATGATACTTTTATAGCCACAAAGCCCATCACAAAGTAACTTCATGTGAATCATGTATTTGTCGGCAAAAAAAGGATTGTTGTCGGTTCCTACAACAATAGGATTGTATACCCTACACTTTGACTAAAAATTGAAAAAAAAAATTCCTATACATTCTATGGAGATTCTATTTTTCTATGAAGATAAAAGAAAACTATTTTATTTACGCTATTAAAATGTTTTGTGTAGGGTTAAGCTAGGTTTTAATAAGTATAAATAAGGATAGATAATTCTGATTATATGTTGTTATGCCTAAAAGAGATTCAAAATGATAAAATAGTTCTTTAAAATAATTACAAATTATATGGTTGGGTTAGGTTAGTGTATATTAGTCTGGTTTATATTAGATTAGTAGGGCTTTTATTTCCTTGATTAGCATTACTAAACAAGGAAATAAAGGCCCTACTAAAGCGTATTTTTTACATTACCTGGTTGGGCAACGGTTATTCTATAGAATGGCTAGGCAATGTATATAATGAACTTTATATCATACTTTGCCTGGTTCATTTTAGGAATGCTTAGTCATTCTATAGAATACCTGGTTATATATATTACCGGTACCATATTCTGTATATTCACAGTAGCTGAGTGGTTAGTGGTCACCTAAGATTGTAAATTCGATCCTAAACAAAATCAGAAGCAATTTAATGATTCGAATCTGGACCCAGATGTTCTTGATCTTTTGGCTTTTAAATAATCAGCTGGTTTTAGTCAATCACAGCTATCAACTCATCCATGCAACATTCCTTCATCCGTCTTTGCCTCAAAATACTCACCCTAGTGTGCAGGTATTAATACTTGTGTAATTAAATCTAATAATCTAATTTAATAATCAATAATGATCAAAGTAATCAAATCCTTTTTAATAAAACTAAATGGTTATATTAAATATTGAATCAGCACATCTGTTGGTACCAAAACAAAGGTTATCTCTGGTTTAAATATAAACAATACAAACAAAGATTCAACTCAGCTGATTTTTGTCTGCTTCGATAGTATGTTCAAATATTTCATATATTGATCATATATTTGAATAATATTCCAAATGTTAGTTTATTAATTTCTTCTACATACAAGAATAAATAGCAAGGTCACTAGGCAATTCCTTCAAGAGTCAATAATTATTGTCATTTCATTATTCAAAACTTAAGAAATTACTCATTTATATTTTCCGTCTTATTTACATATCTTTGTTCCTATGATATGAAATAGTGGGCTAAAATACAACACCTTTGAAAGGAAAGATAATCAGCACTTTTGACAAGATAGTAATATCAAGTATTTATTTATTAACATAGTTCCTATGATATGAAATGGTGGGCTAAAATACAACACCTTTGAAAGGAAAGATAATCAGTACTTTTGGCAAGATAGTAATATCAAGTATTTATTTATTAACATATAACTCTGCAATGGAACACTTATAATATATCAATACATCTGGTACCTTTTAAAATACGCACTTCACAAAAATATACATACTGTTTGTGGTTACAGTCTTCCAAGTGTTTATAGTATTTACTACGACTTTTTTCGCTATATGTAAACAAAACTTAACTTTCTACTTGCTTTTTGAAGCTTTACGTCCCTATGTTTTTGGTCTTTTAAAAGTTAAGAATTTAATTTTGGCACACAAGGACAATAAATATTAAGGTAAATATTAGGAACTGTGTTGGAGTAGTATACAATAAAAATGAAATACCATTTCAAAGTACACGGACGATTAGCCTATGGAGCTTAACACCTTGTGCTATCTATGACTTTTGTTAGTGAGTGTATATTACAACACGTTAATCGTAATAGGTTGTTTTATAGTTGTGTTTGTTTCATCTGCAAGAGTATTTCAACAACCCAGCAACATCTGTTTAACTACACCTTAGCCTTCGTGGATACATTAGTTCAAATAACAGACAAATGTTCTGATTAAATACTCGGCCAGTCTCATAACATGGAACACTTAGAACCACCGAAGGCATCCATGGGGCAGGGATTGGAAGAGGCATTGGTCTCTTCTCTGTCCACAGCCTCCATGAGCTGTCTGAACACATGGGAAACCAGAGAGCTGTACCTCGCGCTGCATTCTGCGTACTCACATCCCCACAGGGTCTTGACTCTGTCCATGACATCACGGCGACGGGCGAGGGAGGCGTCATCACGGGTGTTCAGGAGATCCACCTTGTTGCCGACGACCAGCCCGGGCAGAGAGTCTCTACTCTCGAGGATTTGTTCCCTAACAGTCTCTAGGTATCGGAAAGTATCTAGATCTGACAGATCCAGCACCATCATGTAGGCAGTGGCGTCTCTTAAGGGACAATCTCGCAGCTCGTACACGGAACTCACGGGGAAGTACGGAACCGCTGGCAAGTCTGTGATCTTCAGCTCGTACACTCGTCCGTTGACGATCACCGTCGGGTAGTAGGTGTGACGACTGTCGGTGGGGGCGTAGTCCTGGACGAAGCTGTTCCACACGAATTGCTACAGAGACAACATAATCAAATTTTATTAAGTTTTGGAATAGGAATTTGATCAGATAAATTTGTGAAACCACCTAAACATGCATTTATTTTGTTTTTGCGTTGAATTTAGGATACTGTAGTATGCATCCCGTCCACATTGACCTGCCCTAGCCAATTTGTGATCTTAAAAAAATACGAATCTGCTACAAAGTCTAAAATTATATTTTCTTTCTTATTATTCCTCACTGTAATAGCTGATGTAAGATAAAGTATGATATAGCTTTCAATAAGCTTTCCTCTCAGTTTGGTTTGAAGTTTTTGGATTTGACATAAATCAGTAGTTTTCATCAGCAGACCTTGTCAGTGGCTGGATTTGACTAATTCTCTTTAATTCTTAAACAGGCAACAATTTCACATTGGCGGGAAAAGCTTACTTCTCTATGGGTAATATTATATAGGCCTATATATCATAGAAGTTAAACTTATTAGTCGGATGTAAACCTAAGGTAAATACTAAGTAATAATGTAATAATGAAAATACTAAGTGTCTGAGCAAACAATCAAATATCACTGAAAGGTACATTAATATTGTATTAAATATCACAGTTAGACTGTTACGATCAAATAAATGAAAACTAAATTTAAATAATATTGGAAACTAAACCATTGCAACATATTACTATACAGAAAACATTTGATTTGAAAACAAACGACACTCTGAATATTAATCGACCTTTTTCACTGGAAGTAAAATTAGCAGGTGCTTACACACAACTAATTACTACCATCACTATGTACTACTATCACGCTCGAGGGACAGCATTAGAGCTTGTAGTGACAAGGGACCGATTGTTACGCTTGCTCTGCGCCATTATGGAAATGCAACAAAACAGGTTTGTCGGCACAACGAAAGTCTTTTTGAAATTTAACTTATAAACATTCAGTTTACAATGCAATATTAAACCAAAAATTACGTTCATGGAAAATTAAGCTATTTTGATTGTTGAGGATTACAAGTTCATTTTACAATTAAATTATTTAATTTGTCAGTTTATTTTAACGTTAAAATTACCGATGCTTTTGAATGAAATACCTGTTCTGGAAAAATTATTATTGTCTTTCATAAAGAATAACTAGTCACAGTTAATTAGGCTATCATCGATATCATAATAACGTTTTGAGACGTTTCATAGGGGATCCTAAACCACCTGAATAAACTTTCAGTTGCATAAATTTAAATAATACTAATCTTTCCACATCTAAGGAAAAGAAGGAATCATTCAAAGACACCCTTTGGTTGAGCATGTACCGACAAAACTCAAAATTAATGGAAACTCCAAAATACCAAATCACTCGGTTTTGTGAATTATATAAGTTTAAGCTTACATTTTTTCTTTTTAAAAATCAATTCTTATTTTATGCAAAAATTTAAATTAATTAAAATTAAAAAAAACTGCATACTTTGGCAAAAAAGGAAATATATTTGCCTTACAACTTCATTAGCTAGTTAATCATCTACTTTAAAAAAATTCATAAAATGACGATTTAATTAAATTTAGCATTATTGTGGTCCCTAAAGGCTTACTTGAACGGTCGTAGCTTAAGCTCTGCCATCACATTAGTATTCTAAACAGAGATCTCATTTAAACCGATCATCACCAGAATCAGAAAGCATTGTACACCACATTTAAACAGACACCGAAACAGAGAATCAGAACAAACATTCAAACATTTGACTCGGTGAAATGCCACATTGACTGATGACCAATAAACTATTGAACATACAGTTCAATTGTGATTCACTGATTTCGGGTTGTGTTATGGCGTATTAGGGCATTGCCTTGCAAGAAAGTGGGGTTGTTCAAATTATTACACTTTGGTACTTCATTTTCTGATATTCATATTATTCTGGTGTTTGCATGGTCACACATCTGGATGGATTATGCAAATTTGAGATCAGGTGTATAGGAACGATCGCTCACACAAAACCTGGTGAATTATTGAACTGAAGTTATGGGAAGATCTTTTGGACAAAATCAAACAATTCGTTTAAACTGTCGTATATAACATAGGTTGTGGTTTAATATTGCAAAAGCAGCTTGCGATGGTACTCAAATTTACTTCAACTGTAATAAATTAATATTATTTGGTAATGACGTTGATATATTGGTATTTATTGATATCGATCAATACTGAAATAGGTGTAGTGATTGATGTATGGTGTATGAACTAAAGGTGGTACATTGATATGCTATATTGTTGGTACATTGATGTATTGAAAGTTAGACTTAAAGATTTTTTTTATATGATAATTACATAATAGTCCAGTAAAATAAGACATTTTGGTATGCAAAAGGTCGGGTAGTTCTGATTTTTGGATATGTTGTTAGTATTGGGCCCATAACATAAAATCCAAGTTATCCACCTCGAGATATTGCCGCTCGCCGCGGGGCGCGCCACTTGTTATCGAAATATAAAAAATATGGCAATTCCCATTGTTTTAATCTCGCGAACCGTTGATTTTACCGAATATTTTATATTATTACATTAAAAAAGAATAAATTTTTGACAGTTTAAGCCCAACAGCAAGTATGTAGCGTAAATAATGGTCAAAATACAGACCATCAAAATAAATAAATTTAAAAAAAACGTATAAAAATTGTGGTTTTTTCAATATTTCCACATTATAGTTGTTCGAAGCAAACACCGTATTAATTTAGAGAGTATGCCAGTTTATTTGCTATTAATAGAAAATAAATGAAAGTGTGAATAAAAATACCCCCACCTCAGCAAACCTGCAGACTAAGCGAATTTCCATTTGCTTGATTTGATTTTCACAAACCTATTTAAATAACATTAGGTTTAACTGGTACCTAGGTTTGCTGCTACAGGGAGGGTAATATAGTATATAAAATAATACTAGTATGATAATAAACAAAAAATTTACCTTACCTTATAAAATTTAATAAAATTTACCTTATTTATAAAAATGTGTCTATAAATAAGGAAAAAACAATAATTAAAAATCTTTGCTATTGGAATAACTTGAGGTTTTTTAATTTACATTTTTTTAAATTTTCTCCGTAACCAATAACAAAAAAAAAAAAACACATTTTAATGTACTAAATTATTTGTTTTAAACTCTACAAAATTATTTAATGATACAATTGTAAAATTGTATGTTTTGAGGGTTAAAAATAAAAAAAAATATTCTTACTGGCAAAATACCTATAAGGCAACCGTTCCTATGGCCTTATCATGCCGATCATGCTTCGCGATCTCGTTTTAATAAATTAATGTACGTTTACATGATTCAATGATTCAATGATTTATTTAGGCCATTAAGCAAAAGCAATAGTCTAAGTCACTTACAATACAAAGTAAATGATAAATAGTCCATCTCTTGATTCACAAATAAAAGTAATGTTTGTACCAAATTCCACTAAATCGGATGATTTTTGGGAATCATCGTGCTAACGGACGATAATAACTTTTTTGGATACAGTTTAGTATAATCTTTTTTTTTTTTTTTTTTTTTTTTTTTTATACAGGGTCTCTAAAAAAACTCACCTAGTTTGAAAATTTATTTATTTATTGTACAAGATACAAACTACTCTTCAACGACTGATACCATAGAGAAGGCTATGGTGATACATTAAATGAAAGGTAATAAAATAAACGTTATTTTAACACTATCACATCTCAATATGCGAACCATTTGTAGCCCTGCAGACATGCAAGCTATTTTTACTCATTTTTATCATTAATATTTTATTATTTGTAATATAATTTATTACCAAAACTATGTTCAAGGTCAAATAGGTGTACGCAATTTATAGCCAACGTACGAAACTAAAACTTTGAAGTATACTCTACACAGCACGAAATGATCATTACTCATCCATTTGAACAATAGTATCGTGAGGTATTTTTAAAACTATGGAGTCTTTTTCGGACACCCGGTATAGGCCTATATACATCTATATTTATATATGTTATAACAATTTGAACCAACAGTATTTTTGGCCTCTAGGAATACCAAAATGAAAAAGTAAATCGGTCCCGGGTCTAGGTCTTACCATGAGACCTATTGTAATGGTGTATTCCCTATAAGGGAAATTTGCTAATAATTAGAATATCATTTATATTGAATGGTGTGTGTTGAGGAAACCACTATTTAATCTTTTCATTAATTTCGCTGTCTCGAGCAATGCGAGAATAGCGCACGTCAACAGTTTGCTCACTGTTAATGTTCAACTGACGTCATTTTTTATAATATTTCTCAACTTCCTACAGATTTGATGAAGACGGATCATCCCAAGTGCTCATCAAGTTACAACATTTTGTCTGTTATCCCTCGTCCTCGAGTCAATCCACCAGAGCTTTTCATTGTCTTTATGAGGGCCTGTAGACCAAATTCCACACCAGAACTTGTCTGTACGTCTTGTAGTGAAATTTCCGATCTTTGTGAATTTGTCGCGTTCTTCAATATCAATCCTGTATTTAAATTCAAATTCAGCATGTCCTGTATAGATGGGTGCACTTGGCGTGGAAAAATTATCCGCTGCATGGAAGATCTGTGGAGTGATTGTAATTGGAAGATCTTATTTGCCTGATCTTTCAGCCTCAATAATCTGTTAACTATGATAAACTGTTTTATTTTGTTTTTATGTGAAAGTATTGTACCCAAAGCTTAGCTTAAATGTTTATGTATGAACATTTGACAGATTTGGGAAGAATAGTTTTGCCGTTGAAGGTATATTTTGAAGGTATTTTTTTTTTCATGTAAACCTACATTTATTAAAACGAGTTCGCGAAGCATGATCAGGCCATGGGAATGGTTGTTTTATAGGGTCTTTTGTTAAGGACGGGTTTTTCGTATTTTTGACCCTCAAAACATACAATTTTACAATGTATCTCTAAACCATTTTGTAGAGCTTAAAAACAAATAATTTAGTGCATTAAAATGTTTTTTACAGTTATTGGTTACGGATAAAATTAAAAAATATAAATTAAAAAGCCTCAAGTTATTGCAATAGCGAAGATTTTTAATTATTGTTTTTTCCTTATTTATAGACACATTTTTATAAAATTGGGTAAATTTATTTGTTTTTTATCATACTAGTATTATTTTATATACAATATTACCCTCCCTGTAGCAGCAAACCTAGGTACCAGTTAAACCTAATGTTATTTAAATAGGTTTGTGCAAATCAAATCAAGCAAATGGAAATTCGCTTAGTCTGCAGGTTTGCTGAGGTGGGGGTATTTTTATTCACACTTTCATTTATTTTCTATTAATAGAAAATAAACTGGCATACTCTCTAAATCAATACGGTGTTTGCTTCAAACAACTATAATGTGGAAACTTTGAAAACCCCACAATTTTTATACGTCTTTGGAAAATTTATTTATTTTGATGGTCTGTATTTTGACCATTATTTACGCTACATACTTGCTGTTGGGCTTAAACTGTCACAAATTTATTCTTCTTTAATGTAATAATATAAAATGTTCGGTAAAATCAACGGTTCGCGAGATTGAGTGAAAAACAATAGGAATTGCCATATTTTTTATATTTCGATAACAAGTGGCGCGCCCCGCGGCGAGCGGCAGTATCTCGAGGTGGATAACTTGGATTTTATGTTATGGGCCCAATACTAACAACATATCCAAAATTCAGAACTACCCGACCTTTTGCACAGCAACCCCATATTTTCTGACAGATTTACTGGACTATAATAGACGCTCCGAACACTTTTGAAAACAATGTAAACACATAGCCCCGAGGAAACAAATATCAAAGTGGATAGAGGAAAAATAGTTGTAGAATAATGAACAATAGGAGAAACGACTTCAGAATGCTTTAGGTAATCAGAATGATCCCCCTGGATCCGTTTGTAATAGATGAGTTATAAATTACATGTTAAGCTCATTAAAAATTTATCGATGTCAATGGTTTTGTTGAGAATGAAAGAAGAGTCTCAATTGAAGAAAATAACTTAGTATACAGTAATACTGAAGGAACTTGACTTCTTTCAAGACCATAAAAGAGATTATTGTACCAGGTCAAGTTAGACATTGAGAAGGTCGGATCCATAAAAACAGAAGACTGTCCAAAATGGAAAATGTTTGATGGCGTGGCTAAGGCCCTCTGAGGCAGTGAGCAAGTCCATGATCTTACCTGTACGATGGATGTCTTGCCAACTCCTGGAGCCCCCAGCAGTACTAGCTTTACCAACTCTGGAGTGTCAGGGCTCAGCTGTGGCAGAGATATAGGAGTGCAAGGAGAACATACCCTCCCTCCCTCCAGATAGTCTAGGTTCAGTTCTGGAACAAAATGCCAGGTAAATGACTTTCATCATTGGCTTTTAAGGGTTTTCCATCGCATTTACAACCATATGGACCAGCTGTATGTTTTCATCAAAGAAGGACCTAGTTGACACAGAGTGTCCTATAGCCTAAAACCAAGTTCCATCCCTTATTATTTTTTACCGTGATAGTTTGACATAAATCATGTTATCGTTAACAATAACTTGTCCTTTCAGTTTAACTTGGTCCTAAAGTTAAACAGGATACAATCATTTACATCAACGCACTCTTTCGGTAGCTCAATTTAGCTAAGTCCCTTTCATTCTAAAACTGGTAACAACTTAAACATAGAAAACCGAGAGTAGTTTTATCCGTAGTCAAGGATCTAACTTCCTCATTAGTAACAAATATGTATTTTTGGTGTCTACAGAAGTGTCTTTTTGTATAGGGATATAGTGAACTCAATAAAGGGAAAATGCGGTAAAAGACCCTCCAATATTTTGGATTTGTTGAGGATCGGACTTTTCACTCTTGGGATGAAATTAATGTGGTGTTAAATATTACAATTTTACAAAGTAAACTTATTTGTATATTTTCTACGGTTGTTTTGGGCTGTGACGTTGTTTTTGTCCTTTATACACCCATTCATATTCAGCTGAAATTTTGGAATATTCATTTAAATGTTGTATATAAATTAATATTATATATATTAAGGGATATATATCTCCTTCTCTTGTATAAACGTTTTAATTTGTGAAAGCTGTAAAATCTTTTGATGATCGAAAATCATTTCGATGGTTCTTTATTTCTTTATAAGTTTGGGCAAAAATTTAATTTTTGCTCTTAGAGGCAGCCGTGTGATTCTAGTGATTGTAAATTGCGTGAAGTTTTTAACGATGCACCATTAGAAAGATCCCTTGTTTGAGATTAATAATGGTCTGTGGGAATTTTCTATATTTGACTCTTCAAAGAAATATCGGTTATATTTAAACATACTAAATTTAAAAAAAATCCGTATTATTATTAAAATGAAATATTGTAAATATATATGATATTTTTTGCGTTTTAAATACCTTAAAATACTCGTTTTAAATTTGTTTGTTACACAACCATATTTATAAATCCAGTGAATAACTTTTGTCCTCCTTTGTTTAAACAAAAGTATATAGCCCTAAAACTCAATATAAAACCGTAACAAATATTAAAAAATTCCTCTACAGAGTCGAACCTATTACTGTAGTGTTCATAGTAAGATCTAGATCATGGTATTTCATTTAATTTTATAATTATTTAAGGGCAAAAACTCCGTTCAGTTAAATCATTATATCTGCATGTTCATGCCTGGAGACCCAATAAGGACTGGTAAACATCAAATGTTGACAAGGTAGGAGAGGAACGAATAGCTGGCTGGTATATCGGCTTGTTAGACTTATGTTTATTCTAATCGAGGATTTACATTACTCTAAGATATCCAAATATATTTTCAATATATAATATAGCTTATACCGATCTATTAACTTTTAATCCAACCCAGTGTTATATGTAATCTAAGCATTTTTATAACGTCTAACTGATATCGTGTGATAAACTTTAAGTAGCTAAGTATCTATTATCGTTGTTCAAATTGACAGCTTTGACTTTGACTTGGCTATTATCGTTCACGGATACTGAGACAGTAACGGTATGGGTCATAAACATAAACAAATGACTTCACTGGCCCGAATCCGTATACTAATAGCTTTAACCTTATTGTCGGAGGATTTTTGAGTCGTTAAACAATAATACAAACACGTTTTCCTTCGTGTTAGTGGCGTCATTTGTTTGTGTTTATGATCCATACTGTTGATAATAATTGATCGGTTATTAAAAAAAAAACATACAAACGTTAACATTTTGAACAAATGAAAACTTGATTTTTTCCCCCTAATTTTATCGGACGAGATTTAAAATAAAATAAATATTTTAGACCAATGAGTTAGTTCACTTTGATAAATAGAATTCATAGGGATTAAAATAAGTTGTTAGAATGGGACAAAGAGACGGCACTTAGGGCGTTTTTCTCATAAGAATAACATGTGGAGCTTTTTTAGCCACTTTATTAAAGACCCGGCTCCTGGCCTATACATTCTTATAAAATTGTCTTATACGGTATGGGTCATAAACATAAACAAATGACTTCACTGGCCCGAATCCGACCCACCGACCTGACATGGCCGAGATTTGCACGAGAACTCAAGCACGCTCCCGACCTATAGCTGCTTCTCGTCCCCAGCGGTGACACTTATGAAAAAATACTTACCAACTGAGAAAGAGTCCTGACTTCTGCACTAAAAAAATATTACTCTTGAACATATTTTGTACTCTTGTAAATATTCATAACTTAAAGGGTGAATGTCAAAATTGAGAGAGAAGATCAAGTATTGTTGACATGAAGTCTTAATTTTTTTTTACAGAGTGAGGTTTTGTGTTGGTGTCTTTAATGTATATAGTAATTGGGTTCAGGACTCGAGACAGTGGCAATATGTGAACTCCAGAAAGGTTTGGCGGACCAAATTCACCCAAATGACCCAATGACCCCAATCAACACAAATCAAATATTGGTAGAGAAGGTGATTAGGAGGAATGATGATTGTTGTATGCCAAATGGCTTGGGTTCCCAAGTAGCCAAAACTCGTGGATTTCCGCAAAGGATGTTGGTGTTTCACCACCCCCTATCACTAGTTTGTAGGATGAACGATAATTTGTGCCAATAAAAAAGTTACTCTATGTGAACATGAGGATATTTTTATTTAAACTTTCAGTGGGATTAGATGTTCCAAACATGTCACCGCTGGGGACGAGAAGCACGCTATGGGTCGGGAGCGCGCCCGAGTTCTCGTGCAAATCTCGCGTGATTTGGAAAATATATGTGGAAATGGATAGGGATTGGAAATGTTTATGGAGTTGGACAGTAGTATAAGACATTTGTATGGGATGTTAGGCAAGGGGCCGGGTACATAAAAAAGTGGATAAAAACTCCCTTTGTTATTGTTAGGGGAAAAACGCTTCAAGTGCCGTCTCTTAGTCCTATTCGAACTTCTAAAATATATAATCATACCCATTTAAGAAATTGTAAAAAAGAGAATATCAACTTGAGTTGTGATGAAACAATTAAAGCCTAACCCTTACAAATGCAATGTAAATCGCTTATCTAAAAATATTTGCTAAGAGACATCTCTCGAATTATCTAAGGGATATTCACTACATAAGAGTATATCCGCTTAAAGCAAGTTTGTTTCCAGCATACATATAAACTTAAGAAACTAAACGACACAGACATACATCAAATCATGGGAAGGTTTTAATAATATTTTTAAACAGATCAAAAGCATGCACACCCGCTCAAAAGTAATTGAGGCTTCACGGGAATCCAAGTCGTCAATTTTAAACCAAAGTCAAAGGCGAAAACCAAAAAAGATATGGATAGCAAGACATCCAGTCCTTTGATACACGAACGATTCAATGACTTACAAGAAATGTCACTTGAGTTCTCTTTTTACTTGTGCCTTGACATATTTTACGCAAACTCATCCGAATACACTATTTTATAATATCTTTAAAAAGTTAAATTAATTACATCTTAAAATAAATAGATTTAAGTTACAAAATAAATATATAAATAGATTTATACGAATATTTTAACAAATTTTACGATCTAAATGCTTAATAAGTAAATACAATATTAAATCATTTGTATGGTTCTTATAAATATATAAGTTTTAAACGACACATAACATTTATTTCTTTCAAATTGAGACACATTACTGTACCTAATTTACTGTTTTACGCCAATACAGTAGTGCAATTATATTGATGAGGTTTTTATAAATAGCAATAGCTTAGGAAAGTTTGGATATTATATTATAGATGTATAAAAAATAAAAATTTCTTTATCGATCCGTAACAATAAGTAATGAAATGTTCACATATGAACATACTTAAATAATAATCGTTCTAAAAATATTTTGCCCTTGTTTGTACAAATTTATTTTGAAAACTAGGAAATTAGTTCTACACTAGTTTCAAAACGAATTCGTTAAATCTTTTTCCTTGTAATTTAGAGAAGTGGAAAGACGTAGTAAGTAGGTTTGCTCAAGAGTAATGTCCTGGACGAAGGAAGAAGCATAAGGAGAGGCCCATTTAACAGCTGTAAGTTTCCTTACTTAGCAGGATTATTTTTTTAAGACGATAATCATCTAACTAAATGCTTATGCTATCCTGGTGTGTTAATTCTGTTCTATTTCTGGTTATTATTTAAAAATATGTTTGCCTACGACAAATTAAATTATATTTTTAATCAGCAGATGAAGTATGCAATTCTAGTTACCGTAATATTATGACATTACTCGTATAAATAATAAATAAGACTTTACAGACGTAACCAATTGCACAACTATTTACGCAATTTACAACCAAAAGTGTATGTATACACACATGCAATTATACATCAAAGAATGACGATTAGATTTGAAATGGCAATGGGATTTTAAACTAGTAAGTTTTAATAAACCAATTACATTGTTTTTTCTCTTTGAGAGATATAGAGCTAGATACAGTTGGGGATATCAGATTAATATATTTTTCAATATTGTAAGCTTCTGATTTGAAGTAATCGAATTTATCCGAGTGACTACTCAATGACTATCGATTGCTAATTCTGGATGATCATTGTTGCATTGTTGCTGGCTGAATTGTAATCGATGGTTTTAGTCAGTCTACTGTATACAAACACAATCACAACATGCCGACGAGTTTAATGGATTGGCAATAGCTGTTCGTGTATGATACCGAAATAAGACAGGTGCAGTTTTGAGATATACCTTGCAAGGTTTAACGATAGCCCTCTATAACTTTCTATTTTAGGAGTCTATTTAAGAAATAATTTAAGACAAAACATGGTTTATAACATGAGGCAAAAAGTAATTTCATCATAAAAACCGTTATGCCATCGTGATGGCATATAGTATTGCTATAGGAGTGATGTTTTGTTGGTAAAATATAAATATAGTATACAACACTTGATTTTTGACCAATTCCTAAACTTAAGATGTTTAAATATTCTTGACGATCACATCCAATGGATGTGTTCTCTCACTCTACAACCCTTTATTATTTCAAAACTTGACTAATAATAACAATCTTTTAAATTGCCATGTCAGCTTACGTATTGATAAAAAATAGAGCAACGTTGGTTATTTATTTTAATCCCAAAGAACAAAAAAATCTTATCTTATTAAGCTTAGTTAATAATTATGACAATTATCTTAATTAAGCTTAATATTGTTCGTTTCTAACCACGATTTTGTCTTTCCAAAATATGGAATACACCACAGACGGTTGTTTTACGAAATTACCGACCAACACACAAATCTATAAACAAATATATACTTCTTACAATTAATTGTAATGTAAAGACTCTGCACAGTTTTGTCCGTTAGTAAAAATAATTGAATTTTGGAATCGTTGAGTGAAGACAGTTAATTGTAATATCAACAAAGATTTCAAGTAAGATTTTAATCCGGCAACGAATTTATGTAGTTTTTACTCACGTTTGATCGCTATAGGTTTGAATTGCACAACTATACAAGTACTGTAATGCTATCAATAACAATGATCGTAAGTGAGGTTTAACTTGCCACCGTAGCAACTCGGGGAAAACACTCCCTTCCTGTTTTTCGCGCAATTCCCAGAACGTACAGACTACTGCCACACATAAATATCAACCGTTTCTCTTTCCTCTGATACTGAAATATATACCTTGCCAGGTTTCTTTTCTGACACAACCACAAAATATTTCTCGTACCCTAAATCACAAAATGAAAACGCAATTTACATGACTAGAGCAACATAATCTGGAATTAAATAAACTAAAAACGCCAAAACAGAGTATTTTGTAGGCCTACTCATTTGATCAATTGTAATTGAATATATTTTTCTTTTGGGTTTATTTCCACAAATTCATTAAATAAGTTTGCACCTTCTGCAAACATGTAGATTTATTTTAAATGCCGTTTTTTATACTGATTCAATAAATGGTAACTTCTTACAACTTACTCTATATTTTTTACCGTCCATATTTTGTTATGTTAAATTGTAGACGTTAAATAATGTGTACATTATATTAAAACTATTACTTTTTTTATGACATAAATTGTTATGAAAAGTAAAATAGAATCTAAGTACTTCAGGTATGGGTCCAGATGCAAATACATTGTTTATAGCCCATATTATTTTATTTAAGAGTTTTCTCTTACCTAAGGAATGTCGTTCCAACTGGATGGTCCTATCTTTGTTGTCGTCCATGATCTCCATAGCTGACTTGAGTCGGCAGCTCTGAGCCTTGGGCTGATCCCTGCATAACAAAATAATAAAATCTCCATCAGGGAATCATACTAATGAGTTATTATTGATTGAAAGTCATTTATTCAACCTGTAAAAATAATATTGGTGTTAGGCTTCCAAAGTCTGTATAGACGGTACGGTAGAAGACCGCATTATCGAGTTTGCCAAAATAGTGGCCAACGGTTCTGATCAAGAACTTCTCAGTTGAATCGTACCTAGTTTGTCTCGAAGATAAATTCTGCAACACATCAGAAACGTAAGATAAAGTAGGGTATTCACAACATCAACGATGTGGTAATTCCTCGATGACATAGATTTGGCAGTTTATGGACATAATGTAAGTTTTTTACGATTATTGATTTTTTTCACAAATTTAAGCATGCAAATTACAAAATAACCTTTGGAATAAATGTTGAAATAATGCATACAGACTTCAGTGTTATACAATTATACAGGGTGAACTACGTTTAGATCATAAAAAACAGAGTGTTCAAAATTTAGAGTTTGCCACTATTGCCGTTATTGGAAACTTGTGGCCATTTTTGAAAAGGTGGAATATTTTTAATGTATTATATGATCTTTTGAATTTAAATGCAATTCTAGACGTATTTTACTCTTCGCGTTTTCCCTCCAAACATACTTGTTTAGGGGTTCAGTTACAGCATGCAGAATTTACACAGCTATCCACATTTACCCAGGTTTGACATGCTGTAACTCCTACGAGTATCTTTACATGGTAAATGTCAGAATAAAAAAGATTAAATCACTTAAATTCCAATCATAAAATACAACTTGTAGTTAATCTCATAACAAAATAGTTTAATCTCTTTCTAAATTTAATTGTTTATAGAATACTAATGGTAAAAACAGTTAAGATTTTCATAATATATAAATGCATTTTAGAAACAAAGTGGTATTCAAAAAGCCATTCGGTAACAAATTCATGCCCGTTATAATTATATTTGGAGAGGATCGGTTGGTTTTAAGAGGAGGCATTATGGATTTGTTTATACTTTTTAAATCAATTACATAAAGGGTGGACCAAAAAAACTGGGACAATTTAAAAATGTTATTACTCAGCTATTATAAAGGCTGGAGAGTTCATTGATGCGGCAAAAGAAAGTTTATTTGATGCCATTTAGTGTATTGTTACTATGGATCATCAATGGTTGCCGCAACATCGTGCCTTTGTCATAGAGACTTTTTGAAGAATAATTTGACTTTCATTTCTACTCAACGTCAATTTCGTGTTCACTTCAACTTTGGCCGTAATGGTGCAGCCCCAAACCAAATAAACTACTCAAAGATGGGTAAACAATGTCCTAAACACGGCTTTTGTACTAAAAATTAAACCTATGCAAATTTAAATTTCAATGCAATGTTTTGCAAACGGTTGGCTTTGGACGCTCAACGCAGCTTACTCGCACGAACCATTTCAAAGTTTTCTGGCGTTCGAACAGTCCGAGGTCTCCGACTAGGTTTGATTTTGAGTGCAGAAGCCGTATTCTGCAAATTACTTACCCAACCTTGAATAGTTTTACGGTTTGGGGTTGCACCATTACGGCCAATGTTGAAGTGAAAACGAAATTGACGTTGAGTAGAAATGAAAGTCAAATTATTCTTCAAAAAAGTCTCTATGACAAAGGCACGATGTTGTGGTAACCATTGATGATCCATTGTAACTATACACTAAATGGCATCAAATAAACTCTCTTTTGTCGCATCAATGAACTCTCCAGCCTTTATAACAGCTGAGTAATAACATTTTTAAATTGTCCCTGTTTTTTTGGTCCACCCTTTACATTAATACTAAAACTAAGATGTCATCATCAGTAGGATGTTTAATAGTTTCGTGTACATTTATTTGAACGGACGTTACAAGTGACCGAAGAATAGCAACATAGCTATCTATCTTCATGTTAAACTCCTTAAATCTGATACATATTTTACCTTAGAACTCTAAATAAAAGCACATGATACTGAGTACGCAGTGCCGCTATTAAATCGAAGATAAATAATTATTATTTTGCTCTCACTTTGTGGAGATCCACCTAATCAAACATAAGTTTTACTTGTCAAATGCATTAGTTTTAATGTATAATTTGTAAAAAATTTCATTCAGAAATTGACCTTTGTGAATTTTACTCATATTACAAAACTGTGTAAAAGCACTGTGGAAGTGGAAATAACACAAACATACGTAACCAAATGAAACTTGTAAAAGAATATGCCACAAAAGTCTATGGGCTGCTTAGGAATTTCTCACGAGAATTTGAAGTTATAGGAAGTTCTATTAGGGCTAAGGGAGGCGGGGTGAAGATAAAAAGAATGTTTTCCCCGGAGGCCATAACCTTATATCCTTTCGCATATAAGGTGCTTCGAATACCCCACGTAGCTCCTTAGACAGAAAACTCTTCCAAGGCGTATTTAAAGTTACTTTATGATTATAAATGTATTTCAATAAAAACTGTTATCACAAACCTCTCTTATATCGATTTAAAAATTGTCAAAAAAGCTCAATTTAAATTTATGGTATAAGCGAACCACTTTTTACACCAGTCTTCCAAATATTAGACTTTAACAATATTTCTCCAATGTTCATCTTCTTCTACCACTGTTTTCAGCTATTGTATCATTTTTGCGGTAATGTATTTTAAGGTTTATTTGTTTTATTAACAAATAAACCAAGGTTAAGGTTGGTCCTTAATACGTTTAACTGAATCGATTATGTGAATATAGTTGTGAGTTTTTATTCATATTTCGTTTTATGCTAACTGTACTCATAGATATGCATTGATTTCTTTTCAATCAACCATTGAAATATGGAATATACATATTGAAAATGTTGGGAGATTAAATAAAAAACTATTTTGTAAGGCAATAAACTCCTAATGCCAAACAAGAATGTGTTCTTTGGTATAGGCTAATGGAATAATTTGCTAAAGTTTTGACGAATGATAAGGAAAAACAACTGTTCTAGAGCTATGGCGTCATAAAACACCGGATTCTTACAGCAAACTGCGTAGTGGTTACATTAAACACCCGAGTTTCACACTTGCAACATCTTTATAAAATATATATACGGTAAACCGTCACAAATGTGAAAAATGTTCATACTTGGAACCCTTTATCATACTTAAACGATCTGTTTTCAACAAAAAAATATATTTCACTATACTTTAAAACAGTTGGTTCACGTCTTGTGATTCAAAATAAGAATTAGAATTGAATTGAATAATGAAATACTACTGAATAAATATTACTAGACGTAAGAATTTTACGTTCGTATGGATGTTTTCTACGGAAGTCATTTAGTGTAAGAAATCAAACTTGTAATCAGCCTGATAAGAAATGCATGTTGACGTAGTTTTACACTTTGTAGATCGTCTAATACAAACAGTATCCTAAGTCTAAAAAGGTGTTCTTTCCTGGTAGCTAAACAAGAAATAAATTATTTCAGACCCTTCAGATATTTCAATTTGTATTAAAAGTTTTAATCAAGATGTATCCAATTGGGAGACAGGGAGTTGAAACATTAATTTAATACGATCTATCGATATCACATCTATATTTAACCAAGCAGACCACAGTAGGGATTTTTGGAATCCTGTTTACTACCTGCATTATTATCATTAGCTACGAATACGAAAAAGTAAATAGACTTTCAAAAATTTAGTTAACATTGGTTTATAAATGAATTTGTATTGCAATGTGAATTTCTTGTTATTACAAAAATATTCAATGAAATAATATATAAACAAGTATTTAATATACAGAGTTTATTAACACTTCACAAATACAAATTTAATTTTAAAGTATTCAAAAACAATACAGTAAATTTCTTATCAATAGTAAAATATTTTTGATTTCAATTAAACTCCCAGATAGTTAATGAATATCCTAGAAGGACATATCCTTGAATATCTTCATCATTTAAATGTACATATCGTAATTTGTATGGTAGAGAATAGTGATTATTTACTATCCTTAAACAGCAATTTTTTTGAATTAGATGATGTCAACTCAAATAATGTATTCACCTTAATATATTGCAACATTAGAAGCTTACGACAAAACTTTAATAATTTTTTAATAGAATTTTCTCAATTAGAACAAGATATTACCTTTATTGTATTAAGTGAAGTTTGGATTAACACCGATGAGTTAAATTTATTCAATATTCCAAATTACAACATTTTTGCACGTTGTAATGACTCCTACAGATCAGGTGGTGTCATATGTTACGCTTTAAAGGATATATGTGTCACAGAAGCAAATGTAAACAGTATGAGGACTGCTGACACGCTCCTCTTAAATATAAAAATTAGTAAACATTATTTTAAACTATTTTGTATATATAGACTGCAAGAGTTTACTGAGAAGGATTTTGTAAACGAACTAGAATCTTATATGAATTATTTTACTACAAATACAATTTTGCTGGGAGACGTTAATATCGACCTGTTAGATGGAAAAATAAATTCTAAAAACTATCAGTACCTTTTAGAGAACAATGGGTTTTTATCAATAGTTAAGAATGCTACTAGAATCACAACAAATTCTAAAACACTAATCGACCATATTTTTATTAAACATAGGCAAGTAAATAGCTTTAAGCAAGCAATATTTGATTTGAATATAACAGATCATTGTTTATTGGGTCTTAAATTTAATGACATTTCTTTAGACCAAGACAAAAAAAAAGTATTTTGCGAGAAGCAGACTATAGATTTTGATAAGGTTATTGGTTGTTTAAAGTCTATTAGTTGGGACGAAGTTTTTAATGAAAAAAATATTGATTTATGTTATGAGAAGTTTAATTTAATTTTAACTGACGTTGTAAATAAGTGTTCTAAAACCATTTCAATAGATAAGAGTCTTGCTAAGGCCAAACTACTAAGTCCTTGGATGACGACAAGTCTCTTAAAAAAAATACGTAGAAGAAAAAAACTGTACGTGTTAACCAAAAAAAGGCCATATGATTTAGTTTTAAGGAATCACTATAAAATG